TATGTTCCTTTGTGTGTTTGTGTATATGTGTATGTGTGTGTTGTAGCTACTTAAGCCTCTACCCACTTACAATCTATGTAACATAGGTTGGCTTATTGGCTTGTATCGTTTCAAGAAATGTTGAAAAGGAGGTTCTATTTCTAAACCCACCGAATAGATCACTTTTATGATATGTTTGTTTCAGGAATTTGGAGGTTTGATCTACGTGTTTATTCAACCTTAAACATACCTCCCTCCCAGCTGCACTTATTTGCCAATTGCTTTACAGCACTCTTCATACTTTTTTAAATCTGTGGAGTTGTTTTTGTCTTGTTGCATTTTTTCTTCTGTTTAAAGATATATCTGTTATTCAAATATAAAAATGACTTAGGAAAGAACATCCTAAAGTTTATTTAGAAATTCACCAAGCCACATACTAATGCATCTCTAATGGGGACATTTCTTTTCACACCTCTAAGGTGATTGAGCCTGTCCTTTAAAGTGAGATTTGCAAACCAGTGTCTGGCAGCTCCAATTAGCTGCTTTTGGGTTTGAAGCACATCACAAACAGTAACAAGGTCTCCTAGGACACTCCTACTGCAAGTAATGTAGTCATATTTCCTCATTAGTTCTTTTCAATTGTCACTAATGCCATGTTTCTGCTTTTGAGTCGGAGACAAAAACATAAAAATTTGGTATGTATGTAGAATGGGCCATTGTTTTCCATAATTCAAGCCTCTTTTGAATTCCTTTGATAGTTTTGAAGCTTACACAGCTTAATTCATTAACCTTTACCCTTCACATAAATCAGGTGATTAGGAATCTCTTGCTAAGGAGACAGATTTTCCTTCCAATGAAACTAAGTAATGCCTTCTCTTCTTTAAAAAAAAAAATCCTATATAACTCACAAAAATATCCTTTCTGTTGTTTTTCAAATTTCATCAAATGTCGGGTGAATTTTAGAACATTATCAAAAGCAAGTGAGCATAAAATTTACATTATTATCAAAAATAATTCTGGATGCTTTGGAGCAGGTTTTCTGGCCCCTTTCTGTATTCTAAAATTGTGTGTGTGTGTGTGTGTGTGTGTGTGTGTGTGTACGTGTGTACGTACATATGTACCCAACAAATGTTACTCAAGAATTTACAATGGTAGCAATTTTTTTTTTTTTTTAGTTGGAGTCTCACTCTGTTGCCCAGACTGGAGTGCAGTGGCCGCTCCTGGCTACCACAGCCTCAACCTGCTGGACTCCAGCGATCCTTCCGCCTCAGTCTTCCAAATAGCTGGAACTACAGGCGCATGCTACCACACCCAGCTAATTTTTTAATTTATTGTAGAGATGAGGTCTCGCCAGTTGCCCAGGCGGGTCTCGAACCCACGGACTCAGGCAGTCCACTCACAGCCTCCCAAAGCGCGGGGTTACAGGCTGAGCCACTGAGCCTGGCTATTGGTAGCAATTTTAAAAAATCTCTTCATACCCCTGTCAAAACAAGAAAGGAAGAAAATAAACTGAGGGGGAGGGGCTATTTAGAATAAGCTAAAGTATATTTAAATGAACTAGGGCATTTGATTTGAAGAAATTTTCATACTTTATAGAGAAAGATGATGTGGGCTTCAAGAGACGTGGTGGTTCCGTGATTCCCTGGAGGTGACACTAGAATCTAAGTCTTTCAATTGTTTATTCCCTCTTGTTAATGTACATCTCCCCTTATTTCTCAGAACTCAGGAAAATGGTTTAGTAGGCCTAATTGTATTTAACATTTCATGGGATCTTTTAACAGTATTTGATACTCTTTGATATTTTTCCACTATGCTATTTCCCATATTATGAATTTTTCCTTAATACTCTTATAGAGTGTTACTTTCTAAGGATATACTTGTCCTTCTGAGTTGTATAATTCTTTACATTATCATGTATGAAGTGGGAAATCTTTGAACATACTGAGCCAAAGAAGATGTTAATCATATGGTATTCTAAGGCTTGTTCTTAGGGATGGTGGGGACAGAGGATGGAGGGGAAAATGGGAAAAATTTGAATTCTAGTCTCTGAGTTTAGAGTCTCATGGCTTGACCCTAGGGACAAAATTGTAATTTCTCTCTTTTATTGGTACTTTTATTGGTACTGTTTTCAAAATATTCCTTTAAAAACTTACCTGTAATACTTGTAGTCCAAGAGTTTAAATAATTACAAGTTTATATTTTGTTTTCTTCATATATACTATATAGCAGACTGAAAGTTGCTCTGATGTTAATACAATAAGGTTCATGACTGGAGGTTACAAAGACCTTTTGAAAAACAGAATAGAATTATTTAGAGTAGATGTGATTCGCAGACTTGTGTTATATACTTCTTGTAAATATATTCTAGAGTGGACTCTAAAATATTCAGGAGAAAATGACAGTCACCACCCATGGTCTTTCATCATGAACTGCAATCACCACATGCTGCCTGGGAAACTAGACCTAAATGAATTATAAGACTTCAGACACTAGGCAGGTACGTGAGGTGGTGTTCCATTTCCTCCAATTTGCAGTAATAGAATAACACAACCCACTTCCATTTTCAACTCTCAAAACAATGGCTATCTTATCTACTTATTTCAACCACTCAATTTTGGTTTTAAATATTATATTGAGTTTTTGTCCAGATTCACAGAACTTGGGGTTTCTCTCCTCAAATATCACAACCATGAAAGATATAAAATTAATATCTTTCTAGAAATCTTTCAGGGAGTCCTTTTTTTCTCCACGAATTCTTATTTGAGGAATATTTCCATGTTGTGCATGACTTCTAAAGCACTGACTATAATCAACACAATTAAAAGTATTTAGAAAACCCTGTGTACTTAAACTTTCAAGAATAGAGCAAAAACTCCAGGTGATCCTCTATAAAAAGCAAAGTACTTTTCTCTTACATTTCTCCTTTTATTGTCTGAAAGATACTTAGTGCTTACTTGGCTATTATATTGCCTTTTGAGTAAGCTAAATAATTCTGTATTAACTATTCATAATTGTCTACACTTCTTAGACCTTTCTCTGTCATGTAGGGAGGAAAACTGATGTTCTTTACCTTTCATCAGTTTACCTTTTATCAGTTTTAGGATAGGCTTTATCCAGTGATTGATCGCCTTATTCTTTATAACTACTAGTTCTTGTTGCCTGTGAAATAACATTTGACTTGACTTGTACAGTGAAATTGATTTGTGTTATTTGCTGTCTGTCTTCTTCTCTGTATGTCTCTAATGTTCATAAGTGCTTGTAGTATATCTAATGTACAGCCAAGTAGAAGGAATACAAATAGAATATTGCATTTGTTTAGAGTTTTTTATTATCAAATATAAAATCAGGCATTTTGAATATAGCATTTGAATATAGCATGATAACAAAATATAATTAATGATTTTGTGTGGTTTCACCTTTGGGTCTGCAAATTTTTTGGCACATGCCAGAGGAGGACAGTGAGATATATGTATTTTATTTGACAGAAAATAGATTCTTTAATAATTTAGGACTTTGTAGTCATCTAGAGCCTTTATACTGTTAGCATGCTTAAAAAATGGGTTTTTAAGTTGTATATAAAATGTAGATTGTTGGCAATGTTTTATTTATGGTTTATCCTTTTTAATGCACTTATTCAAATGTTACACTAAAACCAAATAACATAGAATTAGATTTTGAAATTTCCCCTCATGGTAATCTGTATAAATTGCAATTGCAATGTGTTACTGTTGTAAGTTTTCTGTTGTACTCATGGAAAAGCTTATCTATTTTTATAATAAATCTTTTTTTAAAAACAGTCAAAAAAGGATGTTTATTCAGTTTCTGAGGTAACTTGAAATGTTTATCATTCCATTAAAACAAATTTCTATAAAAATATTTTAAAAGAAAAATATTTCTTCTCTGTAACTAATTTAACCTTCAGTAATGAATTATGTGAAGTAAAATTGTATAGTTTCCTGACATTTTATGAAGATACCTACAAATAAGCAGACAGCAAATAAAATATCTGAAAGACAGAGATGGATACAGAGTAATTTTTTGATGGATTATACACACAGGTATCAAATTACTTGATCTGTACTTCCTAGAAAAGGTTAATGACTCTTTTTGCTTTTACCCTTTTACTTAACTGTTATTTATAAAGATTAAAACAGGGAGTACATTGAAGGGTGTACATGCCTATGTGTCTGTATGACTGCACAGATTTTTCTGATATTATAGGAAACTGATCCACAAAATGAATAGCATTGTTAATCATGATTTTTAAAGTTCACTCAGTTCTCTACTACAGTTTCTGCTAGGACTCAGAGCAGAGCAGACCATTTTAAAACCTTTTAACTTAAATGAAGCCAGAAAAGACTTTAAATCTTATATATCTATGTATTGTTAAAATGGTCTAATCCTACACAATTTATTTTAAAAATTAAAAATAAAACATTTTAAAGTAAAAGATTTTAAAGTTGTTATGTGTGCAAATTTTTCTTTAACCTTTAAAAGTTACAGATTTTTAGAACATATTTTTGTCTTGTATTGAATAAGAATTTGCAAAAAATATGTATTTCAGTGTTATCTAATTTCATGATTAATAATTGAACCTTGAGCATATTACTATCCACCTATAATGACCATCCATCTACATTCTACAGTTTTATTATAATTATTTTTATATTATTTTATTATATTAATGATATATATTCATTGCATAGAGTATGTTTACTAATCTTTTATTGTCAAATGTAACATTACTCTTATTGGAATATTTCTTTTTAATTTCTTTGGTTTTAAAAGATTCACTAGTCATAAATATATTTAATTAGAGTCATTTAAGCATTAGAGCACTTGAGTTTAAAGCAGGGAATATAATACCTTTTCCTGAAACACCTTGAAAGAGGTTTGTTGAAAGAAGAGAGCTGTGGCATTCATCAAATTTTGGCCTCTTCCTGTTATACTTGTGGACAAATTCTTGCTAATTTAATTTGAAACACATTAGTATAATTCATCACCTTTTTTTTCTGTTTCAGGTGTGTGGAGGTCATTGCAAAGGAAGGACAAAACCTGAAAGAGCTGTATTTGGTGTCCTGTAAAATCACAGATTATGGTATGTCCTTTTTAAGAACAAAAAGTTACAAAATCACTGAAAGGCTTTTTATTTTTGAGTCGGAGTCTCACTCCCTCACCCATGCTGGAGTGCAGTGGCATGCTCACGACCACCCCAGCATTGACATGGTGGGCTCAGGAGATCCTTCCGCCTCAGTCTTCCAAGTCGCTGGAACTACAGGAGCACGCTACTGCACCTGGCTAATTTTTTGATTTATTGTAGAGATGAGGTCTTGCCAAGTTACTCAGACTGGTTTTGAACCCGTAAGCTCAGGCAGTCCTCTCACCTCGGCCTCCAAAGTGCTGGGATTACAGTCTGGAGCCACCGCACCTGGCCGGCCAAAAGGTTTTTTTTTGTTGTTTTTTTTTTTAAAAGAAATCAGGAACTATCTGCTAAGAACCAGAGTAAAGTGTATGTGCTTATCAATTCATTATAACATTCAATAACACATGCACACATGGACACACACACACACAGGATTAAAAAGTATGACTAAAAGAGCTATACATGAAAATAAGTTTCGAGACAATTAAATGCTTGATACAATAAATATAACTAAGGAAATTTTTACGGAGTTAATTTGCTTGATTTAATGTTGATGTTTAGATATATAATAATGAAAAAGGGTATACATTTGTGTGCAACACTTTATCTTAATTTTCAATATCCTTTTAAAGTAGAGAACAGCAAGTTGTTTTTTACAGATATGAAAAATATGAGATCATACTTTTGGAGAAAAATAATTAGCTTTTCCTTGTTTGCTTATCTTTATAATTTTTCCTAACCATTTGTGTAGTTAATCTAATTATAGAGTTTTAACCAGATATTTGGCTTTCTAACTAATTTGTTCATTTAAATTTGAGAATATGGTTTCTACCTTGAGGGAAGTTACTATCTATTAAGTTTTTATTGGTACCTTTGGTATAAAACAGTAAATGACTCAAATCGTAGGATGTCATACTGACCATCTGCACTCTCTCCTAGGTAGGAGAGTTGTATTTTATCAGCTACTAAATGAAGAACTAAATTATGGATGAGCTATACTAAAACTATAATTTAAAAAATAATGTAAAAAATTTTAACTTAAAAATACTCCTAATTTCAGAATTTTCTTTTGGAGAATTGATAAATATGTCTTACATGGATTTATTTATAATGCTTCTGTGTTGTTGGTTTTTTCCTAATTTTATATCATATTTTTCTTTTCTTGTAGTTTTTCTGATTTGGCATATTAGATTGCCACTTAGATATGGTGACTCTTTAAAACCTCCAGTATGTCCCCTATTGTCTAGGCCCTAATGTGTTGTCCCTGCCTACCTGTCCAAAACCAGGATCGTGTGTGTGTGTGTGTGTGTGTGTGTGTGTGTGTGTGTGTGTGTGTGTGTGTAGATTTGTTAGCTAACTAACAAATCAACATTCATTCATGCCAATTCCTTATTTGGCATTCACAGTTCTTTACCATTAGTCCCCTAATGCTCCTCCAGTCTTATTGTATATTTCTCCCCTTTACCTAGTCACTATCAATTGTTGTATAGATAATAGTCAAAAGCTGTGGTTTAAATCCCTTATAATGAACTCTTCTGAGGTTCTGCAGTGGAAAATATTACCAAAATCAACTTTATTCTGGAGGCATAGGGATACTTTGTCTCATAACAGTTAGTGCCCAGCACCTATCTGTTAAGTTAGCAAGTGAAACATCATCATCATCATCATCATTATCCAGAAGATATGGAGAAGAGAAAAATCTTTGAACTTGGGACAGATCTAGGATCAAGTTCTGTCTTTGTTCTTTGTTCTTTGACCTTAGGGAAGTTCCTTCACTTATATGAGACTTGGTTTCCTTAGTTGTAAAATGGGGAATTAATGTCTGACTTCATGACTCCTATATGTTCCTGGCACCCAGTCTAGTGAGCAGCACAGTGTATGCTGCTAATAAATGCTGCTTTCCTACAGGAGTGGGATAGAGATAAGAGTCACTCAAAATTCTTCTACTTTCTCTTTTGTCTTAAGTCTTGGAAGAGGTTTTGTTTTTGTTGTTATTGTTTAGTGATACTCTCATATTCTGATGTTTTTAGATTTGGGGACTTTTTTCTCTTAGTATGGTGAAAATGTGTTACTACCTTGCCCGTATGGTTTTATTTATTAGTATCTCTGAATTATTTTATGTCAGTGCTTCTCAACTCTGCACATTAAAACATCTGGAGAGTTTCTAAAACATACTCATGTGAGAGGCTTACCTAAGACTAATTACATCCGAATATCTAGGAGGTGGGGTCCAGGCAATGGTTTTATAAAACCTGTTGAAGTAATGATAATGCCAGCCAAAGATGAAAACTTATCTAGTCCATTTGGATGGAAGCAGAAGTGAACATTTTAGGGACTTTAGCCCCATGGTGATAAGAAATTTGTGATGATTTTTCTTGTACCTCAGTCCCTCCAGCTTTCAAACTCTCTGCCCCATCTTATCTCCCTTGCTTCTCTAGAATTTTAGATATTAAGTCTTTGCACATCTATTGACTCTGTTCTCTAAATTGTTGGGGACACAATTGGGGCAGAGAGGAAAAGGTCGATAGGTTATGAGATTGTACTATAATTGCTATTTGATTATAAAATTAAATCAACTTACTGAAAGCTCCACTCATTTTTCCCCCTAGTATATATGAGTAATTTTTGTCAAAAGACAGCAAAAAGATTATTCATTGTAACCAGAGAAACAGCATGTTATTGGAGGTAACTGCTGTGCTAGGGAAGATGGTTCCTTTGCCCTATGTTGATTAGAAATTTGGAGAAGGAAAAATGGATGTCTTTTTCCTTCTTTAACAGGATAAGTAGAAACATATTCTGTAGAACATTTTGATTATTGAAGTGACTTAAAAATTGCAAATTTGATGTATACTTGATACAGAGGGAATTTCAACCTTTAAGAGACTACTCCACAATTCTTCTTTCTATTGCTTTACTCATATTTAAGCCAGCTAGTCTCATTTTGCCTCCTATTTTTATGGTGCTGAATATGAACTTGCTTTTAGTACAGTATACTGATAATTTTAAAGTTTTTTGCAAGATGCATCGATTCAGAAACAGCCCCTCACCTGGCACATCATTTTTAATGTTTGTCAAGATTCTCACAGATGTTGAATGTGGTATTATAGCACTTAGCAACACCTGACCAGACTGTTATGAAGTTATGTTCATTTTAATTGATATGTGATATAGTTGACATAAAGAAAACTATCATGCTAATAGGCTTCTTACTCCCCCAAATTGAGCTTAGATCTTTATAGTAAAGGGTAGCAATTATAAACAAATCAATAATTCAGGCCCAGCTAAATGGAAAATACAGTCTCAGGAAATTGTTCCCTGAGAAGAAATCTAATATTGTCACTTTTGTATCACTGAACAAGTGTATGTCATCAGCAGTATTGTGAGAAAAACTCAAACTTAGGAATCAGAGAGTTAGGTTAAAATTCCAGCTTTGCCTCTTCTTTTCTTTATGACCTAAAGCAAGTTACTTAACTTTCTAGTTTTCCCATCTGTTAAACCACATAATACGTGCTGCATAAGTTAGTGAAAATCAATATAAAACACTCATGTAGTGCCTGGTGGCATAGTGGAAACTCACTAATTGGCAGTTCTTATAATAACAGAATTCTCTTTATAATAATAGAATTCTCTTTCTGAAAAAAGAATGAACTCTTCTCCTTCTGCAAGTATGACTTTTCTGTTTGTAAAATCATTATTTAGAAGATTGATCTATGTTAGTCTTATGCTTAGTTGACCTCCAGACCTAAGCTATCTAAACAAGAATCTTATTAGTAGGGAATAGAAAGAAAGATATAACAAAAAGTCTGAAATTTTTAATTTGTCTTTCTGCCTTAGGTTTCTTGCCTATCTCTTCTTTATGTTACTTTCATTTTATTTGGATAATTTTTTCATTTTTTCCTTTGTTCCTGGAATTAATGTTTCAGATAATACTTCCCAACCTATCTTTTTGCTCAAACATTTTTCTTTTGAAAATTCTCCTTCTTCAAAAAAGTGTATCCATAGGATTAAGAAGACATAGGGCAAAAATCAGCCTCTGTCACTCACGCCTGTGGAGGTCAGACACAATCTTTCTCTTGGGCTACACAGCACTTCATATGGTGTAATAAATGGGGTGGATGAATAAATTGCTCGTCTCCATTAGTGTCTCCATAGTGAATTTTTTACCATTGTGACCCTTGTGTCAGGGGGCAGTAGTAAAAAGGATGCAGGTCTCTTCCTGGGTTAGTTTTTTTGTTTTTTAACTGTATCATTCCTGAGGGCCCTAGAAATATGCTGTAGAGATAAAAGTTTTGTTTCCCTTCTCAAGTTGTTGAATTGTCAAATAACCTTTAATTAAAGAGAATTGTAAACACTCAGCTACTAACATTGTTTTTTGTGGGACATTTGAGATCACTGGCAACCCATAGGCTCACTCTGTACCACTCCATATGCTTCTCTGTCACTTCTATGGACCCTTGAACTGCTCTCCCCAGACTGTCTTTGGCTGCCCAGTATTCTTTTTGATCATAGTACATTCTCCTCTGCCTAATCTGAGTCTTTTTAATATAACAAGGCTTACCCCAAAACTTTCGGATTGCTTTGGGCAAGAGATCACTCAAGTCAAGGAGAACACTGTGTCCATGGTTATCATTGGAGATGTCATTTTAGTTGGCTTGCCATATGCCAGACATGATACAAAATATTTCATTCTGTCAAAAAATATTGACTCAACACTCGCTATGTGCTGGGCCCTGTGCTAGTTGTAGGAGATATATAGTTTCTGTATTCTTGAAGGCTTCTTTTTTGTAGAATCCAGAGGACAGAGCTAGCCTACTTATTTAAAAAAAACTTTTTTTTAAATAATGTATCTTCTTCCAGACATGAAGAATGGCAGGGAGTGGCCTGATGACATTAATCTTTGCTTTGGTTTAACCTACAGCTCACCCCAGCCTTGTTGACCTTCTAAAGTTACTGAA